TGGCCCGGGGCAAACACCCCTGCCCCCCCCCCCCCGCATTTTCCAGCCCGTGTGGCCGGGGCCAGTGAATGGTTTTCTCTTGTTTTGTGATTTTTATATTGCCTGAAAATTAGAGAAAGATCCCTTCTACATACATACATACATTCTGCAAAGTAAACACCCAGTCTTTACCGTTTTTTGGCTATTTTTGCTTTCTTTTTTGAACCAAAAGCTGGGCAAAACTGAAAGCTGAGAAAATCCTTCTCTTTGAATGTAAAGAGAAGTTTATGGCTTGTTGGCTTGTTGCCTTAAGTAATTTATTGCCTTGTGTAAAGCTCTAATGGGTGCCGGCAAACACTAGAGAAGAGGGGGGAGAACAACAACATTCCCGGCCAGCCAGCAGGGAAAAAATAGCAGATTTTTTCCGTACCACTTTGAAACAAGCAGCACACCCTTATAAAGAAAGACGGCATCGAGGCCGCAGTCACACGGACCTCTTACCGCGCTAGTTATCCCACAATTCTTATATCCACTACATTTTTTTTCGCTTGGAGGTGGTCAGACGGTCCCTCTGTCTTCCGCTTCCCTCGCGCGAAGTACTGTTCACACAGGCTGGGTTTTTTTGTTTTTTTTTAAATTGTGCAAGTGCTTCTCTTCCCATGCGCTTGGGCGTACATACACAAACTAATAAAAAGACCTTCGCCATCCTTTCTCCTACCCGCGGGCGGCAAACACCAACCCAAGCACAGGAGCCGGGAGTGCCAGACCCTCCTCGGAGTGGGCGAGAGTTTGAGGAGGTGCGAACCCTCCGAGTCACCTAACTTTTTGCTCCCCTTTGGGCGAGAGGCACTGCCCGGGCTTCGTCCCCTGCCCGGCGGCAGCGGCTTCCCTTCCTGGCCCGCCTCCTTCTCTCTCCCGCGGCGCCTTGCACTGATAAGCGAGGGAGAAGCAGCAGGCGAGGGAGCAGGTGTGTGTGTGCGCAGCCGCAGCCGCCGTGCAGAGAAGGGATCGGCCCGGGTGGGGAGGCGGTGTGGGTAGAACGAGGGAGAGCGAGCGAGAGCGGCTCTGGCTGGCTAGCCGGCCGGCCGGCCTGCGCACACATTCGGGAGCGGCTTCAAACTCGCTCGCTCCCGAACAAAGTTCCCGGCTCTGCCTGTGCTCCGCAGGTTTTTTTGCTCGTTTGACAGCTGGGCGCAGACGGCGGCCTCGGTGGGAAAAGCTAGTGCCTGTTTGCACATTCGCATAACTTAAACTGGAAACACACACACACACACACAAAAGTGGGGGGGAAAGTAGCGCAGTCACGGCGGATTGCTGTCCACATACCAAAACCGCAGATGCAAAGCGCGAGATATCAGGAAAACACCAGTTCCAACGGGTGTTCAGAAAACGCGGATAAAAGAGCAGAAACCGCGGGACTCAGCCCGCTTCGGTGCGGGAGGCGGGTTTGCCTATATAGACAGGAACCTTTAATGCGCGAGGGATCAGCAGCGAATCCTGCAGTAAACGTCCGTGTGACCAGACCCCAAGACTGCTTTAAAAATGAACATGCAGATTCAGCCTGAGTCATTTTCACCCATAATGCCAAGGATAGGGCTGTCCTTTGGCAACATCAATGAGAAAAATTGAACCAAAGCCAGTGCTATTTCCAAGGTAGAGTTGAGCATTTCAACTTCTTCTTCTTCTTCTTCTTCTTCTTCTTCTTCTTCTTCTTCTTCTTCTTCTTCTTCTTCTTCTTCTTCTTCTTCTTCTTCTTCTTCTTCTTCTCTTGAGTAGGCCCAGAGCACCCTCCCAAGACCTTCAGACCTCCCTTGTTTGGCCGAATAATAGGCGTGAGGACCTGGGCAGAGAAATCAACAAGGAAAGGGTTTGTCTTTACAGGAAGTCAGTCAAATACAGGAAACACGCAAGGTGCAAGAACGATAGCCATAAGTGGGTGAAGAGGAAAGAGACCGAATGCCCCTGACGCGGCTAGGCTCACGGTCCCAAGTCCACGGTCCCAGTGGGGCCCCCTGAGTCTGCTGCTCGCCCTTCCTCTCGGGGCGAGTGAGGGTCTCTTCCCTGCCGCAGCCCCTCCCTCTGGCCCCGCTCTCTCGGAGGAAAGAACCAGCTCTCCGTCTGCGCCAGCTCTTTTGTTATAAGTCCCCTTTCTCTGTGATTGGCTAAAATTGGCACCGGAACCTCTCAGGGGCCTCTGGGAGTTGTAGGCCGCCTGGCCTCCTCCCACTGCGACTCAGGCTCCATGGGCCCGCTAGGCCTTTGCTTGCACAGCCCAGATCATGACAGGTCCGGTCACCATTAGTTAGCAGAGTACGTAAATAGAGCTACAAAAGCAGGAACGTCACTTTACCAGGTTATTCAGTTTACAAAGCTTCACAGAGCCACACTGCCAGTTTAGAAGAGAAATGCTTCTCTCTTTATTTGAGAAATGCACTTTGGATAGGAAAGTGCAGAGAGTGATAGACAGGGCTCTTATTGTAGAAAAAGCCCAGCAGGAACTCATTAGCATAATAGGCCACACCCAACAGCAGGAACTCATTAGCATATCCAGCCACACTCCTGACAGCACAGCTCATTGGCACATTAGGACGCACCCCCATGTTACCAGAAGTGTGGTCATCCAGCCACACCCACCTTTTGCTTGTTATTCTGTTGGCCTTGTTTGTTGTCAAAACCCAGGGCCCTTTTTTTGTAGCAGGGACTCCTTTGCATGTTAGGCCACACACCCATAATGCAGCCAATCCTAATGAGTTTCTGCTGCTGGGTGTGGCCTATTATGCTAATGAGTTCCTGCTGGGTGTGGCCAGCTTGGGAGCCAGCCGGGACTCCGTTCCTGTGCGTTCCTGCCCAAAAATAGCCCTGGTGACAGATTACTAACTTCCTAGCTAAAGGGTGGAGGCGGATGGCGAGAGGCCCGTCTGCCTCATGGTGGTGCCAAGAGAGGACTCTTGGTGTGCCCAGGTCTTCATTCAGAGTGAGAGAGAAGCAGGAAAGGGGAAATGGGTCCCCGAGGTCACAGTCTGCCTATCAAAGAGGACAGTGGCGGAAGAGTAGAGACAGGAAGAAAGGTCAGTGTTCCTGTCTAGCTATCTAGTCTCACTTGCCACTCAGTCTGGAGGTCTGAGACAGGGGGCATTTTGCACCTGGAGCTTCCAACAGTGTGTCCGTGTGTGTTCCTGTACTTGAATGACAGTTTAGGTGGCTTGTGCCGGGACACCTGACTTTCTTGAGAACAGCAGTGCGCTATATTGGGAGAAAGTCTTTCCGACATTCTGCTGTGACAAGGTTATATCCATGCAACACTTTCCTGTGTACCCTGTGCCACACAGCGGCGGCATACAGCCACACTCCAGTCAAGGTCAACCATTCCTGTTACTCCAGATCCCTTAGTGGGACAGTGTTAAGCTTCCCTCCTTTTGGAATCAACTATACTTAAAGGTAATTTAATTTTGGCTGGATCGCGTCCCATTTCTGAGGTATTGTCAGAAGTTTATCTTGCTTTTTTTCTATTTCAGTTTAAGATCATGACCCCTTTCTAACCGTTCTTATTTATAACAGGCACCAGCTGTCAAAAAACAAATGAAGCAATACATTCTGGTGGAGAAGCATAACTGTTTGCTCCTGAAGAAGTTTGGATCCAAACACCTTCAAACTTTGTAAGCCTTCAACTTTAAAAGCCTTTGGAAGCTTTAAAAATTATTAGCTATTTACATAGTCAAACCTGTGTTCTTGGAAATGGAAGAGAACTTTGGGTTTGGATTCCAAAAGCAGCAGAGGTGGTACAAAGGTGACCCTTCCAGCAGGGGAGGAGACTTTGCCAGGTGACTGGCATCATGTCTCTTTTGTCCGCCGTTTCTCTACCCTACCGGGTCACCTGAAGCCACATGTACATTGAGAGAGATAGAGTCTCAGGACCAGAGTCTGAGAAGTGGAATCAGTGAACAAAAAGCCCATTCGCAAGATCATTTAGGCCACAGAGCGTTTGTTCATTTATTTATTAAAACATGTCTATCCCACCTTTCCTTGGGGTTCACAGCAGCTTACAATCATAGTTGGCTTGCAATCATAGTTAAAATAATAATTAAACAATATCCTGCTTACAATAACAGTTGAAAACGTTTTCAGTTTAAAGCCAAAAATAAAATAACAAGCCTCCAATCCATCCCCGCTCTTGAGGGGGAAAGTTAAGAGTCAGAGCAGGTGCCCGACAGAAGAGGCCTGCTATGGATCCCCATGGGAGGTGCCAGGCGTTTCATTCTGGCCCCTTCCAACAAACCTGCTGTGCACATCACTCTGTTCCCTGTCGCTGTTGGAAAGGGGGCCCCATCACCTCACAGCCGACTTACGGTGACCCCTCGTGGGGTTTTCACGGCAAAAGACGTCCAGAGGTGGGTTTGCCCTTGCCTGCCTCTGCATGGGAACCCTGGACTTCCTGGCTGGTCTCCCATCCAAATACTAACCGGGGCCGACCCTGCTGAGCTTCCAAGATCTGACAAGGTCAGGCTAGTCCAGTCAGGACCTCTTCCTTGTTGGCTTACTAAAATCATAAAGCACTTCCCTCTCCCTGGCCAGAGAGACCCCAGGTGAGCTCTGAGTGGTTTCCCTTGCTGCACCTGAAGATGGAAGGCTTGTCTTTGCCATTGCCCCATTTAAACCCAAGGGACAATTCTCAGGCTGCGATCACACGCACAATTAGACCCAACATAGGCGTGAATGCCGGGCAGATTTAAAGGGCGCGATCAGACAGCAACATCTGGGAAGCGCCCCGCAGCCGTCGGCAACCTGTTCTGCTCCGCGGCAGAAGCAGAGTTAAAAGACACCAGGGAAACTCTGGTAGTAAAGGGGTTGCGACCGGCCACAGACAGACTTTCCTCTGTCTGATCACTCCAGTGCGCTCTCATGCTGTTGGGATTGTCTGATCAGGCCACACACACACCCTTCGCAGTATGCACAGCATCGCAAACTCCATAGGGAGCCCACGGTGTGGAGGTGCGATTCGTCAATCCCTCGGTTAAGCGCATGGGGGGGGGGAAACGGCACACACACACACACAAACGACTGACCTGAAGTTGTGTCTTATCATGCGCTGACGGACTGCGCCCACAGCTTCAAAGGGAGATGTGATTGTGCAGCCGCGGGTCAAATTCCTCTGGAGGAAATAGCCTCGCTTCCCCCCCCCCTATTTTTTCTGGCGCGTGTGACCGCAACCTCATTGTTGTTTTTTCAGTTCAAAAGAGATCATTGATAAGTGACATTGATTGCCTCTGTTGCGTTGTGTGTAAATAATGGGTTTCTTTTTTTCACCCTCTCCCCCATACAAGTATCTTAAAATGTTTTCTAAATAGACTTGTGGTGTTATTCTGTGCGTGCTTTACATACCTGTGTGCTCAGTGGGTTTTACTCCCAGCTAAGTATGATTTTGTGAGCCTATTCTTCATTATTTAGGAACAAATCCCATTGAGCTGTGATTTCTCCGTGAAAAATATCTTCTGAGCAAAAATGCCTCCTTCCCCTTTTTGCCCAGAGAAATTTGAAATCTTTTAAATGTACACCAATGTAATTTGTAGGGGTATAAATATGAAATAATGGTTTTCTTTATGTTGAAGACTGCACAGAAAGTACTTAAATTATATCACATTCTGTGGAGTACATTATGTGTTGTTTATGTCTCAGAGTGCAGTTTTCTAACTTATTTATCCATACTAATGTTATTGTAGAAAGGGGGGTGGGGTTGTCCAGGGCTTATGACCTGACACAAGGTCCAGATGACAAGGAGTGAAAAATAAGCGCCAGGTTTGTTGCTTCTGATAGACACAGAAACACTGGGTAGGTGTTTGAACTGGAAAGAAGGAAAACAAGGAGAGGAAAAACCAGTGTGGTTAAGAAGGCAAGGGGGAGAAAAAACTCTGGATGGAAATGACCGGAATGACGCCCCCCAGTCCCCCACCTGGCTCACTTAAAAGCGTGAATCAAGGAGGCCGTTGTGGGTTGCCCGCCCTGGGCTAAGAACTAAGTGGAGACCTGGGGGGCTGGGGCTCGGGGGGGAGTCTGGGGAGGGGAGTCTCAGTGAGGTGTATAAGGCCATAGAGGGGGGGCTGATCGCTGCCGCCTGGAGGTCAGTTGTCATCCCAGGAGATGATGTCCAGCCACCACCCAGAACCTCCCCCACTCTGATGGGGACACTCTCTCGGGTGAAGCAGAATTTAGGTTTAGGGCCAAACACTACTGGGGACTTTTGTTGGAAAGGGACTTTTGTTGTAGAAATCCATTTTAGACAACCTCCCCCCCCCCAACAAAAAGATTTCTTTTGGTATTTACCCCCCCCCCCCCCCAACAAAAAGATTTCTTTTGGTATTAAGAGGTGCTTTCCCAGTGTTTACAGCTACTTGTGGTGAGATGCTCCTCATGGAACAAGCAACAAGCACACCACTCTGCCCTGGTTGATAGTTCTTTGACTTCTCTTGAAAATACCTCCCCCTGCCTTGAATTCCTCTTTAAGTCAAATTGGGTATGGAAGCCCTTCCTTCCTTCCTTCCTTCCTTCCTTCCTTCCTTCCTTCCTTCCTTCCTTCCTTCCTTCCTTCCTTCCTTCCTTCCTTCCGTAGACTTCCCTATGGGTCTCGGTCCGTGTAGGGTTAGGGTTCTGACTGGCACAGGAGTGGAGCCTGAGGCCGCCCGCAGATGGCTTCTTTATCACTCACTTTATCACTTTGGCCATGGGCCAGAAAAGGATGACCAAGTCAGAAATGTTGCTCCTCTTTTTAAGTGTTCCTTGAAATGCCTCCTCCCTACCGCTGCCGGCCTCCAGGGGGTGGCTGGAGAGATCTCCTGGGATTACAACTGACCTCCGGGCCACAGAGATCGGCTCACCTGGATGGATCACGTGGCCACTCTGGAGGGTGGACGGACGGTGGGGCACTGTAGGGGCCAGGGAATCCCCTCCCCTCCCCAGGCCGCCAAACCCAGCCAGTATTTCATTCAAGGCAGCATTTCAGCGATGGATCTGGCTCCCTTTCTACTAGGTCAGTGGGTAGAATGTCTTAATGAGAATAAAGTTTAGATACTATAAAGAACCAGTGTTTAAAGACTAATTTTTAAGTATTTTCTTGACAGGAAATTTGTTCAGGCAGCCCAGAAATTCCCCAAAGCTGAGCTTTCTGTCCTGCACAATATTAGTCGAGAGATTGTTCACATTCATGAGGAGCGCTGCCACGGGGACACGCTGGAGAGTTACATTGATCAGGTACAACCAATTCATTTAAAGTGAATCACACCAAACCATCACTGTGCCTGACATTTATTATTACCCTTTTTGAAATGTGGTTCTCTTAGAGAATTACTTTGTTTTGCTGCTTTGGCTTACCTCTGGACTTTATGAGAGAGAGAGAGAGAGAGAGAGAGAGAGAGAGAGAGAGAGAGAGAGAGAGAGAGATAGAGAGAGAGAGCTTTTACCTAATCTTTTAAAAATCAGCTGAGTTTTGTTAAAGCTATTCAGTTTAGTTGTTCAACTCAGGTCTAATCTAAAGGTACACTTACTATATGAGGTTTTCTTTTTTCATGTGACCTTTTTGTCCATTTGTAAAGTATGCCATATGCATTTGGTATGTTGATTTGCTGGCATACTCCCTCAGGTATGCACCTCAATAAATTTGTGATGGTTTGATGTGAGCTTTTTATCCCAGGGGGATGAAACTTTCTGCAACATGATGCAGCCATCCACCTGGAGATTATAATCATTTGATTATGTCAAGCCGCAGAAAAGAATTAAGACTCCCTAGCATACTGTGTGTCTATGGTTTTCCTTAAGACTCCCTAGCATACTGTGTGTCTATGGTAGGGGTGGCGAACACGCGGCTCTCGAGCCGCATGCGGCTCCCGGCCAAAATGAATGCGGCTCTTTGCCCGGCGCTTCCTCGGCGGCTTCCAAGCGACACATTCCGGGGAGAGGGCGTCTTTCGGCCACAGGCGAGCCGGGGCGGCTCTCCGAGGCCGAGGACGCCGCGCTCTGCCCGGAGGCGCTGCGCCCGGCGCGAAGCCAGAAGCTGGCCGGGGGCGAGCGAGGAGCTGCGGCCGCCGGAGGAGGCGGCGGCGGCGAGAGGGAGCGAAGGGCCCTGCCGGCGGAGGGTCGGCCCGGGCTGGGCGCGCCCCGGGATCGTCGGCCGGAGGGAAGGTGAGGGCTCGCCAGGAGCGCTTCCTTGGCGCAGGGCGGTGCGCTCCCGCCGGGTGCCTTACCTTGGCTGCGGCGCGCTGGCCTCGCTCGGGGCGGCAAGAAGCGCGGCGGGGTCCTTCCGAGCGGCAAGTTTCTCGGAGCGGCAGCAACTCGGCAGGCGGGGGGGTAGGAGGAGGGGGAAGGGGGAGGGCAGAGTCGGCCTGGCCGGCGGGCGGGCGGGGGGCTGGCCGCCGAGAGGGCTCCCCCAGAGCGCGGAGAGAGGGGCTCCGGAGGCGACCTGGCGGGGCAGACCCCCCCTCTCCCCCGGCAATGGTCCCCTGCAGGATTTCCAAGCGCGGGGAGGGCTCTCCTCTCTCCCTCCCCCCCCGCCGCCCCGAGCCACTGCGTGGTGTGGCTCTCTGACTCTTACAGTTTAAAATTTTGGCTCTTTTTGTCGAACTTGTTCGCCACCCCTGGTCTATGGTTTTCCTTCAAGTACTGGTGTGAAAATTTTCTTGTGCTCTGAGAGTGTGCGCGCTTGCACTTTATGTATTGTGCTGTTTGGCTGAGTTTGTTTTGCTTGCCTGAATATATTTTTTTTGTTATGACCTGAGGTAATTATATAAAGACATCCTAAGGTTGCAATTCTATACACATAAACTTCCTTAATCACACTTTATAATTAAAATAAAAATAAAAATTAATATTGATGTTTAGAAAACTGCATTAATACATTAAGAATGAATTAGAACAAAGTTTGAGTCCAGTGGCACCTTTAAGACCAACAAAGTTTTATTCAAGGTATGAGCTTTCATGTGCCACGCACACTTCCTCAGATACAATGAAATGGAATATACCAGTCCATATATATAAGGCAGAGTTTGAACAGCAAATTAGTATACAACATAATATAAATCAAATTAAAATAATGAAGATGTTTTAACAGATGCAAACAGGAATAACAAGCTAAGTTTATCAGGTCACCATTGTTTGGATTTAATTCAGGGAGGGAAGCAAATAAATATGTCCAAATTGGAGGTAGATCTGTAAATATATCATTCTTAATTGTAGAGTGCTACGAGTAATTAACTGAGTCTCTGTTGTTATGCTCCATCTGCCTCCTCTCAAGCATGGAAGTAACTAATAGCATTCTTTTCTTTGAGGTGGGGTGAGTTGTAGTGCAGTGTTGTATCTCCTCTGTTATCAGACCAGAGAATGCATTCCAGTACACCATTCTAATATTCATTGCATTACATTACAATCACTATTCTAATCTAGTATTCCAAATAAGAAATACATTTTTGAAAAGAGGATGTTGTCGTGCTCCGGGTCGACCCCGGAGCCTTTAAATCCAGTCAATGTGTTGAGGAGCTACTTTAGAAAGGAAACAAGCGCCTCAGATGTGAGAGGCTGGGTGTTACTTCGCACGCCACACCTCTCTCAGAGTTATCGCCTTCGCACTTTCTCTCTCTCTCGCTTCGTCAGGCGCTCAGCTCTGCACTCCTCCTCTGCACTTTCCGTTTTCTTTCTTTTATCTCTCTTCCCCTCCCTTGGGAACCCACGCCCCCTGGTTCAGTCAGAGCCCATAGCTTCATTCAGCCGTCCATCACCTCATTCTCCAATCACCCAGTGCTTCCTTCTTTTGCCCCGCCTTCCTTTAAATCCCTAGCTGGGAGTTTGCATGCAAGGGAGTGCCTACTTCCGCTTCTGAAGCTTTTGTGGACGCCCGTTGTCTTCTCCATTCTGAGGGAAAGGGGTAAGGCAGGGACCCTCCAACTCCCTCGGTCTTTTGCCCGAGCCCGCCCCCCTTGAGGTAGAGGAGCTTTGTCCGTGCCGGACTGCTCCTTCCGTCCCAATCTCCTCCCCCACCCCCGAGATCCTTCTGCTGCTCAGCCGACGTGGCCGTTGAGGGAGGGGTTTGGAGACGCACGAGTCTTTGGGACTGTCTCCCCTGGCCCATCCATCGTCTGGTGGTCGTGGGGAGCTCGGTGCGGACCGCGCCAGTCCTGCTGCAGTGGCCTGTGAGGCCGCGGAGGAGCCCGCGGTGGGACAGATGTATAGCCCATCTTGGTGAGGATAGAGACGTTAGGAATGAATTTAGCATATGTAGTGAGATAAGAAACCAATATCCCTATTAAGTCCTGGGGGGGGTGTTCCGAGTGTTGTAATAACTTGTAATTCAGCAGTTTCCCTTTCCAGCCTGTCCCTGAAGTTTCTTTGCAATAAAACAGCTACTTTGAGGTCACCCACTGAATGTCCTTGAAGGCTGAAGGGTTCTCCTACAGGATTCTCGGTCTTGTGATTCTTTATGTCAGATTTGTTCCCCCACTGGTTTCTGAGTGTTGTGGTTTCAAAAGGGAATTTCAAAGGGAGATTAAAAAGGGAGACAGCTGAATTGCAACTGGTAACAAAGCTCAAGACAAGGCATCCACCTGGACTGAACTGAGCCCTAGGTTTCCTGTCTTATTACCAATGCTTATTTTTCCATGCCTACTACCTAATCCAATCACACCTTCTATTGCCATTTGCCTGCTAGGACAACAGGACAGATGGACTCGCATTCTAGCTGTATCTGAAGAAGTGAGGAGCGACTCACGAGAGCTCATACACCCGGCCACAAACTTTGCTAGTGTTTAAGGTGCTCCTGGACTCTGGCTCTTTTCTCCTGCTACAGGCGGACTAACATGGCTATCCACCTTGCTCTATTGGTGAGGTGTCACTCTGGATAGATAGAAGAAAGTGTCCATGTTTTATGGGCATTTAAATTTCTCATTTGCAGAGTGGGCACAAGGAAACATTTTGAAATGTGAGAAAGCAGGAAATAATATTATGTAGTAATAAGCAGGGAGAATCCATGTGTAAGGCCACTCGTGCAAAGAAGTTCTGAGTGAGCAAGTGAAGGGAATCCTGCCCCGCCCCGCCCCCTTCCTGGGCTTCGCCGCTTGAAGCATTTTCCTTTCCCATCAAGCTTCAGTCTTGGGAGGGAATTTGGCTGGGGAGGAAGACGTTGGGCGCTTTAGGACTTGGGGAAATCAGACCATGTGTGTCTACATGTGTGTCTACAGACCAGAGTGAGCAAGCCCCTCCCCCCTGGTTCTTTACGACTCCATGAGGCATTTCTAGCTGGCTCCTGAGGTGCTGTCTTTCCCCCTAGCAGCCAGGGGGTGTGGGTGTGGGTGTGGGTGTGGGTGGGGGTCTGGGCATCCCTGGCCCTCCCTCCCTCCCCCCCCGCCGAGGCCAAGAAAGAAGAAGAAGAAGAAGGCCGGAGGCTAAACTGGGCTCTCCGGGGGCTGTTTTTGTGGAAAATTAAAAACCTTGACAAATTTCAGACCCTTCTTCATGGATTTTTCATCCTCCCCCATCTGGTTTCTTTCTAAATCTGTGTTACTAATTGCACTAAATTATTGAGAGAATATGGCACGGCAGTTCCTACATGGCATTTGAGGGGGGGGGAGTCTAGTATTGTCTTTATCCCCACCCCCCCATGTCCCCATGCCTGCCTAGAAGGCATGGCACCACAAAGACCAGAGGAGGAAGCAGACAGAAGCCACTCTTCAGGGGGAACCAAAGCCAGAGAGCTCGAGCATCGGGATGGAAGGAGACAGCACTGCATTGAGTTGCCAACTCCGGGTTGGGAAGTTCCTGGAGATGTGGTGGTGGAGCCTGGGGGGGGGGTGAGGATAGAAGGGGAGGTAGCTCAGTGGGCACTAAGGCCATAGAGTCTGCCCCACCCCCCGAAAGCAGCCCCTTTTCTCCAGGTAGGGTTGCCAGCCCAGGGGTTGGGAAATACCTGGAGATTTTTTTGGGGGGGAGGGTGCCTGGGGAGGGTGGGCTTTGGGGAGGGGCTTCAGCAGGGCACTCAGGCCACAGGCTCCACCCCCACCCCCAAAGCAGCCCCTTTTCTCCAGGAGAACCGATCCTGGTCATCTGGAGACCCACTGTAATAGCGGGAGGCCTCCAGGTCCTGTGTCACCAGGGGCTCCTGCTGCTGTGTGGGGTTCGTTTTAAAACACCAGATTGGGAAACATCTGCGTGTGGCCGATCTTCTGAGTCCCTCTTTCCTCCCTCCCCTCTTTGACCTTCGAACCAGGCAGCAGGGCACAGAGGGCCCTCGTGGGGATCCCTGGCCAGCAGTCATCCGTTGCTTGTCCAGGAACCCATGTGGGCTTCCCAGCACGCATACCGCTGCGGAGACGCAACTGAGTCTTGTGAACCTCTCTTCTCACAGATAGCCCTGAGCAAGTTCGTCTGCGGACACCAAGATATAATATCCCCCAAAGTGAAAGGGTGCTGCGAAGGGGTGCTGCTGGAGCGACCCTTCTGTCTCGTGACTATGGACAATGATGACCCACCGGCAGATCTGTCCCCAACAGTCCGGGAGTTTGTGGATAACAAAGAAGTGTGCCAGCACTTTGCGGAGAACCACGATGGTCATCTGGAACGGTACGCGCCGGCACGTGGATTTCTGCCCGACTCGCAGGAGCAGAAGGGGCTTCCCCCGTGCAGAGTCCGGAAGCAAAAGGGCAGGAGGGCAGGTCGGGGGGAGGGGAGGGGGCAGGGGGGAGAGGGCACAGGGCCAGGGGAGGGAGGGAGGGAGGGAGGGGTGGGCAGAAGCGGGAGTGTGTCTG